AGGATAACACTTCATTCTAGCTGTAGATGGCAAAGATGTTATGGCAGGGAATCCAGATGTTTAAATAGGAATGGAAGAGGGTCACCATCATCTCAGATATGAGGAACAGCTTACTTTTTGCCAGATTTCTTAATTCCACCTGTGGCCAGGGGTCCCTTCCCCGCGGTCTTGGCTTTTAGCTCCTCGAGTTTCTTCTGCTCCTCTTTTTGTTTCTGCTTGAAAGCCTTATCTTCCTCGTCCATTTCCTTGGCCTGCTTCTTGGGCTGTTTCAGGGCCTTCTTTTTGCCACCTTCCCGGCCCGACATGGCGCCTCCAGCGCACTGCTGTATTTCTGCTGCGTTCTGTTGACTGCCCTTGCAGGAAGTCAGCAGAAGTGCATTAATCATACTTCCTGTTACTGGTCTCGCAGAGTGCTGACAGGTGCTCAGGGCTGAGAGTATCTTACCAGTCTGTAAGAGACTGCCGCTGAAACTGGGGTGTGTATGTGGTGGTGACACCAGTGGCTCTTTTGGGTCCTGCTGTGCTTTATCTTGGGCCCTGGAAGCTCTGCCCAGCACTTTTCTGTCATCGGTGGAAGAAGCGAGTGATATCTCTGTTCTTGGGGTTGTGTTTTGACTCGTACTTCCTGAAAGGGTTATGTGGGGTCTGGGGACAGTCTTAGAATCTACAGTGGCAGTAGCCATGGTCCTTAAAGATGGGAAAAGTGCATATGGACCGTGTGGAAAAAGAAATGAACTCCAAATGACATCAAGGCTATTAGCAAATTTGAGGCCCTTTTTTTTGCTTCAGAATTTATGTGGCGCCCCCAAGTGTTGGTGAGAGCCTAGCTGTTTAGTGTGTTATGAAGAGCACTGTTTCTCCCTGGCCCCTTTCTGTAGGTGAGGAGATCAACTTCGGGAAGCTCATCACAAAGCCTGCTTCAGAAGGAACGACACTCCGAGTAGAAGACTTGGTGAAGCAGTATTTCCAGACCGCGGAGAAGGTAGGTCCTTACCACTGAGGCTTTAAGAACAGCCAACAGCAGACTTTAGTGTGGTGTGTGCATAGTTCGTGTGTGAAGTGACTCCCTGGTGGCTCTGCAGTAGCCAGTACACCAGAGTGTTCTCTGTACACTGCTGCTGTCATTGCCAGGACTCACTGGTATGTGGCTTGCCTGTCTTTTGTTGTAAGTCTTGATCTGAGATTTTAGCTTATGTTTGAATGTAATTTTTAATTTAGTTACTTTTTTTTTAAAAACCTAAACAACCATATGCTAGTAAAACTACTTGGACTTTTTTAGTTGCATTTATTTTAAAAAACACAAATCTGAGCTGGGCAGTGGTGGTTGTAAGCCTTTAATCCCAGCATTTGGGAGGCAGAGGCAGGCAGATCTCTGTGAGTTTGAGACCATCCTGGTCTACAAGAGCGAGTTCCAGGAAAGGCTCCAAAGCTACAGAGAAACCCTGTCTCAAAAAACAAAACAAACAAAACAAAAAACCTCACACACAAATCTGCTACCTGGCAACTGTGTAGGTCAGAAATGGCGCTGGTCTCTCTGGCCTGAAAACCAGGTGTCGGAGGGCCATGTAGGGAGAGTCTGTTTCTTAACCTTCCTCAGTCCCTTGCAGTTCTCAAATATCCTGGCTGGGTCTCCTTTGTCCATGCACACAGCCAGCAGTGTTGCATCTCGGTCCATTTTCCAGCTGGGCCTCCTTCTTCTGCCTGGAGCACCCCCAGCAATCTCTATAGTTTATAGCAGGTGATGAGGAGCCTCAATACCATCTGTAGCCTCAGACTTCTTCACCATAAAACAGTCACAAGGCCCAGAGTGAGATGGCAAAATTTTTACAACCGTTATCTCCCCTCCCCCAAAGCCTCACCTTATTTCTAGTCATCCTTCATGGCTTTTTCTGGGGACTGTCCCAGCCTTTCAGACCCCTGAAGTTACAACTCTCTTTGACTCCTCTCCCATTTTTCTCGCCCTTGGCTAAGTGCTGCCTGCTGACCCCAGCACTTCCTTTTCCATAAGAGACTGTGTTTTCCTTCTTGGGGAATTCCTGGCTGAGGAACACAGCACTTGTGCACCTAACAGCGTGTGTTTCCTCCTGCAGAATGTTCAGCTCTCACTGCTGACAGAAAGAGGGATGGGGGAAGCAGTTCAGGAGTTTGTGGATAAGGAAGAGAAGGATGCCATTGAAGAATTAGTGAAGTACCAGCTGGAGAAAACACAACGCTTTCTGAAGGAACGCCACATCGATGCTCTGGAAGACAAGATTGACGAAGAGGTGAGCTGCCGATGTGTGTTTTGTTTGGTTTTGATTGACTGTTTAAGTCTGATTAGTTTGGTTTCCTCATCTGTAAAATTGAGGAGTAAATTAGACAGTGTCTAGCAGCACCCGGAGGAGTGTACACGTGGCGGGTGCTGAGTAAAGGTTGTTCTGTCCCGAGAAAGCGTCTCTCTGAGCTCCCGAGAGTGCTGCAGAGTGACGCTTGCAGCATAAGAATTGCTGCCAGCTCGTGTTTTTCATTCGTGTTGATTGAGTTTTGAGTCTTACCTAGAGCATGTTTTCCCTCTGCATATCAAGGAGCTACAGAGAAAAAGCTTCCATTGGACTACATTGAAATTTAAATGTTGTTGTGTCAAAAAGGAAAATTAAAGGGTATGAATGTGGAGAAAATATTTATGAATGTACAAAAGAAAAGACTAACACTTTCAATATAATTTTAAAAGACTCAAATAAAATGTGAGCTTTAGAAAATATTAAACATTTCAGTAGAGTCATGAACAAAAGACATGAAAAGGGAATTCACAAGGAAGTATAAATGTCTAGCAAGCTTGAGACTGCAGTATTTAATCACAGTTAACCAAGACCATTAATATTACATGGATTTTATTTGTCAAATTTGACTTAAGAAAGCTGGCAGTAAGTGCCCTCCTGGAGAGGCTTCATGCGTGCACGGCTGTGGGCACCGCGGGGCCTGAGGAGGTGCTTTCCCTAGTGCGGCCCCAGGGTGTGTCCTAAGACAGCAGCCAGATAAACACTAGGGCTGTCCTCAGTGCGCAGTAGTTGGGAAACTCAGTTTCATTGAGCACTGTCGTGTAGACAACCTAGACGCTTTTATAGCTAATAATTATCAGGGTTTTGGTCAGGTGCTACGCATGCTCATAACCCCAGTGTTTAGAAGGTGGATGTAGGAAGATCAGGAGTTCGAGGTCATCCTCAGTACATAATGATTTTCAGTCCAGCCTAGACTGTATAGACCCTGTCTCAAACAAACTGTGTGTTTGAAAGATGTGGAAAAGTATTTTCAGTATAATGTTACAGGACTGTAAGGATGCAGAGCCACATGTTGGAATGTGCTGGAGTTGTCGTTTTGTCTTCAGTGACACTGACTCCTTAGCTGCACTGTGTGTGTCTCTGTGTCATGGTAGCCAAGAGCATGGCCTCTGGACCACATTGTCTGTACTTAGAGTCAAAAGCCTTATCATTTGTGTGCTGGCCCTTGGATTCTCTAGGCTCTTTGTGCCTTATCTGTAAAATGGATGAATAACAGAATCTCCACAGTTGTGAGGATTAAAACGCATCTAGCGTTTGCCTCATTGCCCCCTAGTTTGCCTCTTCCACCTGTGTTATCCATGAATAACAGTGTTTTGGTACCCAGGGCACCATGCCTTACTCTCTCTCTCTCTTTTTTTTTTTTTCTTCTAAAGACAGGGTCTCTCTATGTGGCCTTGGCTGTCCTAGAACTCACTATGTAGACCAGACTGGCCTAGAATTCATAGGTATCCACTTGCTTCTGCCTCCTCCCGAGTGCTGAGACTAAAGATGTGTGCCACCATGCCTGTCTCCCATGCTGGTTTTGAACCAAGGTTCTAGTGAAGTGAGGCTGCCCTTGTCAAGGTCTCCTGTGATGTTTTGTCTGCTCCTGAGACATTTTAAACTTACAGGTCTTACATGATTCCATACTTGAGGCCTGCTTTCTTCCCTCCTTAATGGAGAATTTTCTTTCCTGGTAACTTTCATCTCTCCATCCTCTTAAGCTGGACTCTCCAGGGCTCAGTCCTAGGGCCTCTACATCTACCTACCCACCTTCTAATTTCATCCAGCTTCTTGGCTTTGGTGGTGACTTTTTACAAGTCTCTCCCAAGCCTTTCCTCTACTTGCTGTCTTTTCCCTGTGTACAGTGAACAGATCTCCCAGGCAAAGCACCCATTCCCTGTGCTGTTCTCCCAGTAGAGTTCTAATGGATGCTTTAGTCTTTCGGTAGCACAGACCACAAAACCATCACGTTACCATGACTGTTCTTTTGCCACCAGTACTCTGGGTGGCTCTACTGTGAGAACGTACATGGTGTCTGACTTTCTTTATTGTGGTCTAGGTCCGGCGTTTCAGAGAAAGCAGACAGAGAAATACCAATGAAGAAGACGATGAAGTTCGAGAGGTAATTTTTCGGCTATAGTGTGCTGTGTCAGTAGTTTGGTTTGTGAACCAGAAGAGCCAGTGGGTGTATATGGACAGTGGTTAATTTGAGCCCAGCTCTCGTGAGTGACTGTAAGCGTGTGGCTGTCATTGCTGTTCTGCCTCCCGCTCTTTTGAAGTATAGTTGTAAATGTGGTGGGGCAGACTCACAGAGAGTCCTCAGTAGTGAAAATAACATCTAGAATTATTTCTGAGTTAGAATGCTGAAATCCTTAGTCTTCTAGATGTCAGGAAGGGAAGATTTGAGACTGCTTATTGAAGCTCCGGTTTTCTGCTTGCTTGCTGAAGTCATGATTGAAATGCACATTCTTGTTTTCTGGGTGTGGGTGTTACTGTCATCGTTTTATGATTGTCTCACATGTGTGACTCCTGAGGTTTTATCTAGATTACTTTCAGTTGACAGTTTCTGAAGCTGTTGTGGCGAGCATCATGCATTTTACTAGGAGTACATGTATGAAGGAGGTCTGGTGTGTGACCCCAAGAGTTTCCTGAACAGTAGGGGAGGTGTGTGGAGAAGGTATTTATTAAATTATTTTGATAGCTTCTGTGCTTGCACTATCAGGTCCTATTTTACAAATTGAGGATACTGAGAATGGACTCTGGGTCATATGGTGGTACTGGAATTTGAACATGTTTCTGCCTCGAAGTCTTGACTTGGTGCCAGCCAGTGTCTTCTCAGGGTTCCATATAAGATTATTCATAGCCACTGAATAGCTGAAACCAGAAAACTTCTGAGCCCATCAAAACCAACTGAGTCATGTGCCTACATGCACCTGCTATGCTTTTGTGGCCTGTGTTCTGAAATTTAAGGGAAAAAAACAACTGATTAGGGTTGGTTCACTTAGATTTATCTCATTTGTATTCATCTGTAGCGCCCGCCTGGAC